CCATGCCCAGCGCACGGATTGGCATATGGCCGTGGGTCAAACCAATGGGATCCCATTTTGGGAGTAGGTGCACCGCCCATGTTAGTCTATTTTAGTGGCGATTGGGATGTTCACTGGGGGTACGCCCATGGCCATATGTTTGCCAGATAACATTTGGACTGTTACCACTCCAAGTCCTTTTTTTCAAGAGGGTCTGGATTGTGTGTTTTTCATGGATTCATTGGCATACGCTCAGGTTTTGGTTCGTAGTAGTTGCGGGCTCCCGCCGGACCTAGTACTGTAGCAAAAAGGCCCTCTTGGTGGGGCTTTAAACACGAATTTTCCTTCCGGGTTGGTTCCCTTCTGACAAAACATCTCAGACATTTGACATTGCCTCCAGGTTCACAGCTAGGCCAATGTGTGTTGCATACTCGTGCCAATAGTTCGTAACATCGGGTGAGTTTGTCTCAAAGGCAACCACAAGAATACACATAGTTGCTCAGACAAGATTTCATGTGCCTTTAACTTCCACCCAAATCACAAGTCATGTGCATGAGTGTCGTTTTGGCATCGGTAGACCCCATGGCTTTGACACTCACTTGTGGCGGGTCGAGGTGCCAGGGCTGCGCACAATTTCATCCGTTCAGAATTGCATTCCATTCTCTTAGCCTCGGTACGCATCTAGGTCCCCCAGCTAGGTGCCAACTTTTACCGTCTCTTGTGTGGAGGAGGGTTCCCCTACTATAATAGACTACAGAATAAAGGTACCCTTATTCTAACTAGCATGCTTTTGGCACATGGATCTGGTGGTACAAGCAATAGCTGGCTCACAGGCCACTTGGATCTTCTTCCCTGTTTCTGCGTGCGACATCCGTCCACGGGGCAGAAAATGATCAGGAAACAGTTTGGAAAGTAGCGACCTTGCCAGGGGCAGGGCTTGTCCTCCATGAAAGTTTGCTTCACGTCCATTTGCTTAAGCATATTGTGTTTTGTTTCCCCTGTTGGTTTTAAAGGGAACCTATCACTACTGGAAGTATTTATGTATATATATACTTCTTTTTTTTTTTTTCCCCGGGGCACTCAGCCACATGGAGGTGGATAGGAAACCCGTGGCGTGGTGAACATATGTTTGGAGCAATTTTGTAGGCAAGGCACCCGTTTGGTCGAGGATTGTTGGGTGGCTCCTTGGAGTTGGCCAAGGGCCGGACACGTGTTCGAGTTGTTTTAGGCATTTAGGTTGGCCTTTAGCCTTCAACTATATATATACATATATATATTATGTATATATATATACATATATATATATATTTGGGAAGAATAATATTTTTTCTTGCGCAGGGTAGGAAGCACTAAGAACAAAGTATGTCCAGCGCGCCAGGCAACGGCTGCAAGTCCTTCCATCGCGAGATGCCACTCCGATAGTTGGATGCCTTACCCAAAGATTTTGGTGAATTATAACGACCTCACACGACCTCACTCCAACCGCCCCAACCACCTTATTTCAGGTTGGTAAAACATTTCTTTGGTGCCCCTTCTTTGGACCTTACCCAGGATCGGATGTTCCATCGCTTCAGTGGCCCAGCTGAGCCCAATGCTGGAAAGGGCCTGATTTGTTTCCTTTGCTGCATTTTGCCAAGGGATGTTTGGACTTTAACTTTTTGCCAAATGGGTTTTCGTATTAAGCCGCTAACAGTTAAGCTTTTAGCAGGGGAGCAGAAAGCAACATAGTTTTGGTGTACAAGCCTGCAGAACCCGAAAAACCAACGCTTCGCGAGGAATCCTCTTTGGGGGGACCTCCCTTTTGGGTTCCACGTTATTTTGCAGGTGAGTATTGCACAGTCTTGAAGTAAGTGTTAGGAATCGCCAGCCGATGCAGGATCCGCACACCTATTGAATAGCGCGAGATGCTTGCTTCAACTGGCTGGGATGTTATTTAGTTGCATTCCACTGAACGCAACAGCCCAGAGTCATACTTTTCTGGTGGGTACCAAACGGATTCGTAGCTTGTGGTTCAGGTTTATGACCCAAGACTGAGTCCGAGGCTTGTTTGAACCAGGGGAAACGGCCTAAACGGCCCAACCAGTCGGCTCCAGGCGGTGCGGTTGGGCATTGTACCAATCGCAGCTTCAGCAGGGCTCCTTAAAGTATATTCATTTTGCCACCAGTTGAAACATGTAAACAACGCCATTTACAAGTTGCAATGTTCAGGTGTAGAATATAAGCATCCCTGTTCAGCTTTTCGCCTCTCTTTTTGTTTTCCTCTCAGCGACTACCATGGCCACCAGAGGGTTTCAGAGAAAAAGTGTCTTCCACGACCCTACCCAGCTGAAGGGGGGGATGACATAGCTTTAGTTCTTTGCTGCCCTATGATGCCCATGCCCCGGGCGGCAAAACAGCCACTGGCTTTTTGCCTGGCCAATGGAGGCGTTCAGCCCCCCCATGAGATGAGCATGTCCGCTTGTTTTTGTTGTGAAGGTTGTGGCAATAGTGATGGTACCACCAAACAGGACTTTCCATCCACATGACTTACTTGCTTTTGCGAAACTTATAAGGGACTCTCTTGGCATCACATAAAAATGGATAAGGAACACATTTCCCACACCAGTGGTTTCTCAGCTTTGAGCTTTGGAAGAGCAAGGTTGCACCTTGTCGGTCTTTACAGGGCCTCTTCGCTGCCCTCATTTGAGCCAAAGTTTTGACAGAGAGAAGGGTTCTGAAGGAACAAAAAGGGCTTTATCTGAAACGGGCACATCATCAGTTCTGACAATTGACAGCCGCAGATATTGCTTGTGCAGGACGGCCGTCGCTGCGCATTATTCAGACTCTTCACTGTAAGGGGTTCAAGTGAGCCAAGATGGCCTGGTGTTTGAGTTTTGTTTCATGAAGGCGAGCAGGTTTCAGGGTTCAACAGCCAAGACAATATGAGCGAAAGACAATATGATTGGCAGTCTGAGTCTACTGTTGGTTTGCGAAGGGCATGGGGGACAGCCCAAATTTCCCACGAACAGGGGAGAACCCAACTAGCCCATGTGCTCGTGGAGCAAACTCATGCCCGTCACGTAGCCCAGGTACATGCCCCTCATGGGCCCTGACGGTGGCAGCGGAGGGCAAGGTGGCGATGTGATTCTCGAGCCCCTCGACAGCCGATCTGATCTTTTGTTTGCTTTCAGGGCCCTGAGCGCCGGCCGCAGGCCCCTCAAACCCTTTGTGAGGAAGACTTTTACCCTTTTTGGGGGGAGGGTTCCCCTACCAAAATTGACAAAACCGAAAAAGTTGGCACCAACTTATTCTATCCTCTCTTCACTGGAGGACCTAGAAGAGTATCAGGGACAACAAAAGCTGGAGGGACTCCAACCCTGGGCCGGCGTAGTGACGTTTGGTGCACCGGACGTGCGGCACGTGCGCAACATCCAGCAGCAAAAAGGCATAGCCGAACGCAGAGCTGAACGTCTGAGGTGAAACTAGGTCACTGCGGAGCCCAACAAGAGATGTTTGGTGCTGTATTGTTGACCCAGGATTAATAAACCCGTCCCACTAGGGGGGTGTTCCCTCCCAAAGTGGTCTGAATCCCCACTAAAAGGGGAATCTGTTTTCTTTGTTTGGTATGCTAATCAAGTCTTTGGGCAATCGCTGGCATCACTGGAGTCGCTTGGGGCGGACAGGCGACAGGCCAACACACGGAAGCGCATGTTCTAGCGAGGTACACTTGACGTCGTTTCAACGCTTTGTGCATTTGTTTGCCAAATCCGCTGCTTTGAAGCTTAGAGTGTGAAAACCCTGAAACAATAACCTCCTGGTCAAATGATAGGAGTGTGTGTCTCATTCATAAGCGGGAATCTTTATCCCACCAGGTCTTCATCCACCAGTCTGATTAAGAATCTGGAATGGACATTTTGAATCGCTGGCAAAGGCAACATCTCAAGTCAGCTGTAGCTTTGAGCTTCAAGCGGCACAGAAGCATGTTAAACCAGGGCTTTGCCTTGCATCGTAACAGGACACTTCCGGGTGTACGGCCGTTGTCAGTTTCTTGAGCATGCCGGAAAGCAACAGCTTGAGTTGTCGTGTGTTAGTTGGGGCCGCACCAAGCAGAACCACCCTCCACTTGAATGCTGGGTTCACAAAAACCAGCATAAGACCGACTTAGCGTTTGGACGACTGACTCTTCAACCTCGAAGCTTAGACACTTGGGGAAGGTTAGTCGAATCCACTAAAGGCAGGGTTTTTGGTACTTCCCTCTTTGTGGTTTGAGCCTGGCCTTGATCATTTGTGACTTCACTTCCTCGCTTCACTTCACGTTTTTCGAAGGTGAGGAACCCCGCAGGTTGAAGCTTAAAGGAGCAACTTGGTCAGGGCTCCTTAAAAGAAATTCGAATTTTGCCACCCTTTGAAACATGGCTTTTTCCACACCAAAACACGGGAAAACCGCCATTTACAAGTTGCAATGTTCAGGTGTTTTTCATGTAAGGATCCCTGTTGGTCTGAGGGATTCGGAGACGAGGTGTCGCTCCGAGATGTCCAACACGTTGAAGCAGTTCCGCGAGCGGACGTGCTGCCTGCGAGAGTTTTCGTTCGGGGTGGCCTGTGTTTCCTTCCTGCAATTGTGTTGCACATCACCATTGTGGTGGCGTTGCACTTGTGGTGGTTTTAAATATTCCAGTTAGTTGGGCAATTTCGTTGTTAGACATCGCCCTTTAGCTTTCGTGTGCATCACTTGTAGTTGTGATGGATTTCAACATCACCTACATCGTTTCTCACTTCGGTGGCTTTCATCACTCTTCCCTCCGGTGGGTTTACGCATCACCTTTTGGGCCAACGCGTGGTTGTTGTTGGGAAACATTTTACATTTTTGCTTATTGTGGTTTAGTGGGAAATCCTCACTTAACTGCTAAAACAATTTTTTGCTCCCCTTCCAACGTCAACCAAGAAAGTGTGTGCTCCTTTGGTATGTTCCACCTCCACTAAACCGACCTTTTCATCTCGCGTTGGAAGGCATTTCAACATGTGGGAAAGAACGTGCTCGGGTTGGTGAGTTAATTGGGTCTGAATCAAAGTATTGTCCATTGTTTGAGTTGGTGATGTGGAGTTGATCCTGGTGTCAACAAGGTCCCTCACCAAGAATAGACGTGGCACAACCGCGCTGAGCATCGTCTCTATCGGGGCCTTTTCTGATTGGCCCAGGGGAACGCCCAACGAAAGGCGGAAACAAGGAATTGTTTTCCTTTGACCAACACGGGGGCCCCTGGCAAGATCGCCATGAGTCGCAGCCTTTGATTTAGGCCATAGCCCAGAAATTTGTGCGCTACCCTGATTCGTCGTTTGCCAACATGCCGGCTTTACGGCCAGCAATTGCCCGTGGATTTCACCGTTGCGGCTGTTCAGGCTGCCAGTCATGATGCCATGTGTGTGCGAATTACAGCAGAGTTGATCATGCAATCACACATGCTCACCATTACATTGTGGCCCAAGGCCCTTGCTTGACTCAGACTCGAGCATAGATAGAAAAGCCTTGCTGCATTGCTCTCGCGCCATAGTGTACAATATATCTACCATGGACTTCCAGTTCTCCACAATCCATCAGACATCAGGTTCTTATCTTGACCACTGAGACTGCTACCACAATGGGTATCTTCTCCTTAGGGATGAGTTGCCCCGAGGCTCACCTATCCCCGCAGCCCAGGCAAACCGAGGTTGATCATGTGGGTTGCAAAAGATGCTTGAAACCACGGGCAATTGCTGGCTGTTGAGCCAACATGCTGTTGTCCAAGTAGGGTTGGAAAGCGCGTGGTAGCGCCGTGCTTGCCGTTCCCAAGAAAAGCTTTGGCAGTGTTTTGTGATAAGCTCACACATGGGGAGGAGTTGTCCAACAACGAGCCCTTGTTTGGGTAGGGGTGAAATAGCGAAAGTCAAGCATATGTACCTGCGTATTTGGCATTCGGCCGCAGTAAGCGTTGTGCCCGGATCAGGCCGCTTTGTACTTCAAAAGCCGTTCCCGTTGTGAGCCACTCGGATTTGCGCCGACATTCCCCAGGACCTTTTTGGCCAGATGTGGTGCCATGTATCTCTCACCGTATTTCACCTTCAGAATCTGGCCCGAAGCCCTATGGATAATTTGTCGGTTCGAAGCAGGATGGGTAAGGACCAAGGAGAATGAGCAATGAACCCTCAGAATGCTACTTCGATTCGCGTGCGACATATACTTTGTCACGCACAGCTCAGTAAGTTGGCCGGACTTGCCAGGCACTACTACGCAGGCAACGGCAGGGCCTGCTACTTGGAGGGCTTCTCAACCAGGGCGAATGTTTGTTGGTTGGTGTTTGAAGGGAATGCCACAGGAAGTTTTGCTATAATAAATGCTGGCTGTATAGTCAAGTGTCATGTTTTCCTATGGGGAGACCACATGAGACATGGCACTAATTGCATCGCTATCCTTTCTGAGTGAATCCCTATAGGGGTCGTTTACGATTTGTTTGAGGTTTCACGTGATCGTCAGAGAGGATGCTGTGGTGCACTTTAACAAGTTACCACAGGTTTTTTTTTTTGGGGGGGGGGGTTACTCACCAGGGGGCAAAATCATTGTGTTGTTCACTTCCCGTCAAACTCACCTAGTTTGTCGGCTTGCTTGCGGGGGTGCATGTAGTAGAAACCCAACAACCAGAATATAGATTTCTCATTAGCCGGAAAGAGGCTCCCAACTCTTGCCTAGCCGATGAAACACCACCTGGGGAGGCTGTGCTGCACAAGGCCACATCGCTTCACTGCGTTTTAGGTTCATGTGACACTGATTTTAAATCCCGCATTGGAATCAATGCCCATGTGTGTCCGTGTTATTTGTTTTAAAGATATCCTTTTGGGGTTGTTTCATTGAGAAGCCACATAGGTACTGAAAGTGAAACTTTGAACAAGCCAGTTTGGAGGAGACCCAATTTGAGGATCGATAAGTTCATGTGCTCGGGTTTGGTTCCCAAGTCACTTGACTGCTCTGTCTTTGGAGATCAATGGTTCTCTCAGGTTTGGTTTGTGAATGTCAAACGGTGCACCAAGTGGGAAACGCGTTGTGAATGATTGTAGCTTGACAAAATGTGCATGCACGAGAGAGAAGTATCAAACAAGCTGTAGATGCACCTTAATTGTTCAATTTCAATCATCAGAGATGTGGACTGGGCAAATGTGTGCAGGCCGTCCTCAGGATAATACATTTCCTTCCCCCCTACGTTGCCTTGAACCCCGCCAGACCGTCTTTGTCAGCGGAAGGTTGCCTTTACATGGATTTAGCCTGACCTGTTTAAACGAAAACTCATATGTGAAAACTTGGGGCATGCGCGTGGCCTGTGATTCTGGGATCCCTGTGTTTCAATGGGAGCCTTGGTGCCCAATGAGGATGAGCGATGACACTTGTGGGGAATGACCGGTTGATGCTTCCCCCATTGTTTTTTGCGCGGCTTCTTGACTTGCCCCAAACGGGGAGGGGTGCCAAAGGTAAGCTCACTTGCCCATCGGTTTCCGTGCCAAGCCTCCCGAGGTCGGCATGGGCAGCAGTCGTACGGGTGCGAAGGGCAACGATTTAGTCCTGCAGCGACCCCAGAAGCGCGGAATCCCCGGAGAGCAACAGACAATCAATATAGGGGTTCATGGGGCTCAAGCATGGGCGAACCAGACCCCAATTTGACCGACGCCCAAGCCAGAGGCATGCCCGTTTGCAGAGCAAGTCATTTTGTTCCCAGTAGCCGAGTCTCAGGTTTTAGGTCAGCTCTATGTGTAGGCGGTGGTAATGAAGTAGCGATGTTACTCGGACAACGTAAGCCCTAGCCGGACCATCAAAGGCGGAGTGGTTCAAATCCCCTCGGGTACCACGAAACTGCTCATGCCGTCCCGTGGGGACAACAAGTCCGGCTAAAGGCAAATGTGTTGTCAGTCTCCAGCTGTTGGACGCCCATTAGGACATCCAGTGCCCCTGCAACTTCCTGAGCATTCCTGAGCATTTTGTTCGCTCTTCAACCGGGCTCCGATTACGTGAAAGCCGCCAGCTTTCAGGCCCTGATAGTCCATGGTCGCCAGATGACTTGGTGTGTTAAATTAGCCATATTGTTGTACCTCTCTGGACAAAAGCGGCTATTGACAGGATCCCATAAATCGTATGACTTTGTCTATGCAACTCTGGCTTACCGTCAACCATGCACTGTAAAACGAAGGCGCAGGGGGACTTGATGGACACATAGGAAACTGTGTTTAAACCAAGAATCTGCCTCTTTTTGCCCGGTTGCAGTTTGGCATGGTTTGCACTTGGATCAATTTGTGTTTAGCCTGTGCCGCTGCAACACATCTGACTGCACTGGAGGCCTCCTTTGTTTGGTTCTGATATGTTCACGTATCTTGTTACTTGGTTCAGTGGTTGTTTTGCGAGCAGATCAGGGCTTGGAAAGTTAAGGAGCCTGATATCCTAGCCGGGTTTGTCTACTTCCCCGGAGGCTTTGCCATTGGCCATCCTGGCTGCACCCCAGTGGGCAAGAGAGCCCCATTAGAGAGACTTGTGCAGTCCGTGGGGTCGGTGCATGGGGTCTACTTCTTAACTTAGAGTGTGTTGACCTCAAAGAACAACCGTGCAGGTTGCAGGAAGCCATCGGCCAAGATTGGAAGCGCCCAATAAAGAGATGTTATCCTGGGGTGCGCCTAGCGGGTGTCCTATTTTGGCCCCTTCGGCCCCTTTGCCATGGGAGTTACAGAAAAATGCTGTTGGGGATTGAGGAGACAGAAACCCAAATAACATGGAGCCTCGATGGAAAAGGCAAAGAAACCCCTTTGGATGCTTCCAGTTGTTTGGCAGAACTCCGGACGGCACTTCGCCGTGAAGATATTTTCCATGGCGGAGATTTTCCATCTCTTTGAGCCAATCGGCGCGCGCTTCGCCGCTTAAGCCTCACAATGTATGCTAGCCCCCAGTTCCAGGTACTGTAAAACACGGACACACACAGACAGACACACACACCAGGACCCCCAATGGGTGGCAAATAACCCCAAAGCAGCCATTGCCACAGACCATTTGCCAGCCATTGCGGGGTCCTGGCACACACACACACACACACACACACACACTAGTTTTTGCCGTGCTTTTGTTATTTGCCCACCCTCAAAGTCCCCAAAGGTCGCGCACTCAGTGCTCAGAGACCCAAATGGATTCGTTCGTTCATACTGTAAAACGGGACGAATGTTCGGTTTCTCTCGGCTGGTTGCCGCGTGGTGGGCCAAAGCTCAACCAGTTACTCCACTGACAGGGACCATTCGGCAAAAGTGTAGGCCGTTGCATTCCTTTTTGTACCTCTGGCCATCGAGAAATTAGCGATATGCAGATATTTTATTTTGTTGGAGTTAGTTTTTGGAGGCGCAACTACTTGCCAGTAGTCTTTTTTTGTTTAATTACTCCTCTTGGAGCTAGCAGGAAGGGTTGATTCCCCATTCTTTCGTCACACGCGCACTCAGTGCAACGCTCGGTCTTTCCAGCCGGTTTCGGCTCAGTTTTTGATTTTTTCTGCAGCGAGCACTGACGCATGCAGAAAGTTGTCCCGCGGGCTAGGGGTAGGGCCAATAGACTAGACAACCCCTTCCCCTGACCTGCCAAAGTCATGCCGCTGCAGGCCATCGATCTTACTGGCAGCGTTCTGTTTTCCGGGGCATTGTTCTTTCCCTACAACCATCGTTCTTTCCCCAGGGCCATCGTTCTTTTCCCAACCATCGTTCTTTCCCCAACCATCGTTCTTTCCCAACAACCATCATTATTTCCCTTCTTTCCCCACCCCATCATTCTGTCCCCCTGCATCGTTCTTTCGATCAAAGATCAGTGTGAACCTGTTTATTTGTTTTTTGCTTTTGCATCTGTTTTGGGTGAAAATTGGAAAACCAGAAAGAATGGGGAAGTATTGTATGAGGTCATATTTTCGGTTAAAACCCATTCTTTCCAAGCATCCAACTTTCTAGGATTTCCGGCCTTTCCTCCCGAAAGTGATGACAACTGCTGCGTGGGCTGCTGCGCGGGCCCCCATTGAAAGAATGAGGAAGTGAATTGGAAGCTTGTGGAGAATTGGATCGCGGGCACCACTTTGGTGGGTTGGCTGCTGAGGGGCCCGCGGTGCCATCAGGAGGGTGCTTCAATGCTTGCCGTGAAGCCACGGGCTTTATGTTTGTCAGTGTCGCCTTGGCAATGATTCATGACATGGATGTGGGCCAAACAAGAAGGGCAAGGCTGACCGCCCCTGCTTGGGAGATGCCTGGTGGGCTGCTGGGAGTCGGCAAAGGGAGAGAATGGGAACAGTTGAGTTTTAGCCTTGCTTGGGTGGACTGCTTCGATGGCAATTGTTGTTGCATCCATTTTGGGGGATAGTTGGGTTAGCTCTTCAGAATGGGGTGGTGTGGCTTAGAAACATGGAGCACAGGAAAATCGAGGGTGATCAGGGTATGGCCTAGTCCAAAAGCGAGCCTTTCAAGTGGAACAGGAAGGTTTCCCTTTCCCAGTGGATCCATTTACCTGTATAGTAGGTAACCAGCAAAACCACCCTTTAAAAACCAAGTGAAACATGACTGGTTGCCTACAATGCTGGTAATTGGGATCCACTGGGTTTGGCCAGAGAACCTTCTGAGTTGGCAGGGAGCGTTGGGGAATTCGAAGCGACAGAAGCGACAGAAGCGAGCCGACGTAGGCGCGTGCCCCCCGGTACCGTGGTCTATGTACGGGAACGCTGGGTGCCGGGCTGCGACAACAAGACCAGCTGTGGCCCCAGAAGGTTGGACTCGGAGCGATGCACTTCAATTGAACCCGCGGAAATGGCTGGTGGATATATATATATATATATATATATATATATATATTCATGTTGGGTTTCATAGCCAAATGTTGCAATGTAGCACTTCCTTGCTTCTTCGTGCCTTCATGTGTGTGTGTCGGGTAAATTGATACATCTTTGGGATTTAGGGCGCCTGGCTGTGCAGCAAAGAGAATGAGTTCCCAATTTGGACATTGTACGGATCATTTTTTGGCCGGACATTTAGGAATGGCGCTGTAGCGATTCAGTTCTTAAGACAGGTTCTGCCAGGGAAGTGTTCTCAACGTGGAACAGCCACATATGGGTTTGGCTCAAAATTTGTGGTAGGGTTACGCAGGTGTTAGTCTTTGTTTTCATTTACCAGGGTTCCATTTTGGGTGCCCTTTTTAGACCCACAGCCATATTATGCAGAGTGCAATGGAAAGCAGGAAGGGCTTACTGATTCACAGGAGCCCCTAGCGGGATGCAATCCAATCAGGCGAGTCGGAGGTTCCCACCACGGAGGAAAAGCAACCTGTGCAAAGTAGAATTGCCATGGCGTGTAACCATGCCGAGTTCCATGGCAGAGTTGCCAAAATTTGCTGAACCGGACCCAGGTACAGTACCCATGGAACGGGGAACAAGGAGTTGGATTGAACAGCAAGTTTCTAAAACGTGTACAATCACTTTGGTGCATTTTGCCGGGGCTGTTAGGACTGAAAAATTGTTTGCCAACTTTTTCGGGTTTTCCGAATTCAACCACTAAAAGTTCGTCAACTTTTAGCCGGGCTTCGCAGATTTCGCCACCGAGAAATCAGGAGGGCCCAAGCCTCAGACGGTCTTTCCCAAGGTCCCAAAGAGCTGAAGCAATTGCTGCTGACACGGGAAATCCCAACCGATGACTCAACAGTTTTTTACGGGTTTTGTGAGGTGAAAGCGACGTTGATACGGTGGATGGTTGCGAATCCCTTTCAGGCACCACCTAAGAAGCCCTGGAATGGTCTGATTCCCGGGGGTGCGTAGATGGAAAAAAACAAAAAAAGGTTCCTCCGTTTCAAGTAAATACCAACAAACAGTGGTTTCAACGGTGCAGAATTTTGTCCATCCACAGTATGTATAGATCACCAGGTGTTCGTGAGTCAACCAAGAAGTGAAACATGAAATGCATTGTCAACTTGAACCATTGCGTGTTTCTTTTTTACGGGACCCCCCCCCCAAAAGCAAAATAAGCTCTGGTGATATCCCCAACAGCATGCGGTGGAACCCTGGTGGAACCCCTCGTGGAACCTTACCTCAGGGCTGGACCACCCGGGAGCCTATCTGGGCGTTTTGACGATCCGCATTGGTGTCCTGTTTGGTTGGCTTGTTGAGAAATAGAGGGCGCTTGTTCACCTGGTGGTTCAATCATCTACCAGGGCCATCCACTTTCCAACAGGGAAGGAAAAAGCTGGTTTTTGTTTGGTGTCCCTTTGAAGCCACACAGGGTGCCCCACCAAACATGGCACACCCATTCTCATGGAAAATCAATCGGATGGCATCTGTGGCCCTTGGAGACCAGCCGCCCAGAGCTCGCAATGGCCAGCTTGTGAAACATGGCTTTTTCCACCAAAATAAAGGGAAACCACAATTTACAAGGCAATGTTGAGGTGTATAATGTAAGGATCCTGTTTTGGCTGTGGTTGGCAAAACCGTTTTGGGATCCCATTTTGGTTGGTAGGTGCACCATGTTCACTGGGGGTACGATTTGGCTTTTGACCCATGGCCAAATTGAGGAATGTACCGTATATTCCTCAATTTGGTTTGTGCACTCTTATATGGCCATAACCTATGGCTCCATGTTGGGGTAGGGTGCACCACCCATTTTAGAACCTATTTTAGTAGTTGGATTGGGATGTTCACTGGGGGTACGATTTGGATTTTGACCCATGGCCGTTTTTTTCCAGAATCCAGAAGATCCCAGATGCCAAACGGACCATGTTATTTCGGATTGCTCCCTCGGGCAAGATATAGCCGGTTTGCCAACTTGGCCCAAGCAGAGCGACTTTTAGCGACCTGGAAACCCATGAGAGGTTCTTGCTTGAGGAGATGCTTGTATGTGTTTCTTTGTTTATGTGTCTTTGTGGTGTTTCTTTGTTTCTGTGTTGTGTTTGTTGATTAGTTGCTGTTTTTTTTTCCCCACTGCGTGCTTGTGTTTGTTTGTTGTTTCCTTTTGGTTGACTCGTTGTCTGCGATGTAATTCCCAACTTGGCTTAAGATGTGCGTCATTCTAGCCCATGAATTTTGAAGGGGAGTGGTCATGGCTGGTGTGTATATACCACGAAGATGCGCATATGTATTGGCAATTTGAAGCAATCAAGGGCATCACAAGCTCTTACAGGGGCTTCCGCGTTTCCAGCCGAGCGGCCAAAGCCCTGTTTGCAATTCCAGCGCGTCGCCTATCGTGTAAGGGTTTATTGCAACATAACCTTTACGACCAATTTGGTAGACCAACCGAAAGGTTTGGGATCTCCTTTTCCCACTTAAGTATGCCAATGGCAAATGCAATCCAAGGTTGCCCCATGTCCAATCCTTCAATGCTTGACGAAGGGTTCCGGCTCTAACGTGCAACCAAGAGTCCTGGCAGATGTCAAAGCGTCCCAACAACCCTTTGCACATGTGGATCCTGGATTGCCAAACAACATGGGTCAACCTTTTTTTGAGGCTGACAAAGCAAACGAAACACAAACTTGGGCCCCCAAAAAAACACACACCCATGTGGATCAACGAAAACATGCAAATCTTGCGGTATGCTCGCGATTTGGGGGTAACAGCCCTGGAGTCGCTTCACTCCTGCAAGGCCAAGGCAGAGAATTATAAACTTACCCGGCAATCCACTCATTGTTTCCAGTTCGCTTTGTTGCAAGCTTGTCGCTTGGCGTGGGCTGCTCCCCTTGTGGCTTTGGTGAAAAGACCCAGACCTTCAATTGCGCGCTTTTGACAATTTCTACCTCCGCCACCTAAATAATGGGGGTCTGGGAAGAAAACACCGACGCCTCGGCCTTTTGTGGGTCATTCAACTCGGTCGGAAGGGAGTAAGCCGTTGATCGCTGGGGAGTCTTGTGCGGGGGGTGAAACGGTCTTAACCGCCACGCTTTTGCGCCGAGATGAGCTTCCCTTTGAGCAGATGCTGATTCGACATGAGGCAGGTTGCGCGTTTCTTCCAGACAGGAGGGCTCTATCCCACCACAGGATGAGAGTAGATGGCGCAATTCCCTTGTAGGGAAAAGGCATGACTAAACCAACAGCCATTGTGCCATCTTTCACCCAGTGGAACCCATTTTCACAAAACTTTTTTTCAGGTCGTCAGCTGCATCTTCTTTGGGTGGTTCCTTCCGTTGTAGGGGCCGAGTCGGGCTGGGCAGGCCTTCTGTGAGTGCCCAAGAGAGTTCCCTTTCAAGTGACAAAATAGTCATTCTGAGGGGAAACAACCACCTCGGCATTTATTTTTCACAGCCATGGTTTTGCATGACGTACTACGCTGAAAGAGCAGAAGGAACCTAAACACCACATTTTGGAGGACCAGTTGTTTGGTTATATGGTAGTTTGAAGAATGTTGTGCCTGCAAGAGCCACCGAGAAGATGCTTTGTAAGTCTAAGTCACCTTAAAGTTTGGCAACCATGCATGGTCATTTCACCACCCGGTGTGCGTGTGCGCGTGCTTGCGCGCGCGCGCGTGTGTGTGTGTGTGTGTGTGTGTGTCTCTGCATTTGCGTGTCTCCATGTCTGCGTGACTCTGCGCCTGTGTATCGTTGTGTGCGTCTGCGTGTTTTTGCCGGTACATATTTGGGCTTGGTCTCAATAGGAATTTAAAAGGAACACGGCAATCCTTTTTGATTTTCAAGCATTTCATGGCAGGGGGCAGTGAGTACCCCTTTCATTGAGCTAAATACCAATCGAGGGATGCTTGCTGTGGGTAAGCTGAACTGGTGCCAGTTTTTTGCTTTTGCAGCTGAAAACAAAACAACACACGCAGATCTATGGACAAATCGATGGTCTGAGGGAAGCCAGAATTTCAAGGTACCCACAAGATTCTATGATTTTCCTTTGGCTCCCCTTTAAAAAACCTCAAAACAAGGTTCTCCCCAAAATAGACATATCTAATGTGTCCATGATTCAGGTTTCAGGGATTTTGGGCACGGTCCCGGAACAGTGGCAAAACTCAGTTGAAGCCTCTTTAGTACAACATTCGGGGTATGGGTTGGACTTGATCTTGCCAATACTTAGTTTAGAGTTGCAAACTCGTTACCAAGACCTGATGATCGCGGATTCCCAGCATGTATACTTTGAATTTTGCCAATTCTGAATGTAGTATTGCCAAGGTTTAACTGACTTAACCTCAGATTCCTCGTGCTTAATCTCGAGTTGCTAGTTCTAAGCTTAGTTTTGCCAACACTTAATCCAGATTAAATGTAGTACGCCCAGACTTAATCTGAGATTATGCGTTCTTAATGTCAGATTCTGCGTACTTAGAATGGCCTGCCTTGGGGAAGGGTGAGAATAATAGGAATAGGAGGGGTATCTATTTTAGGTGTTTTTTTTCTCGTTCTTTTTGTGTTGCTTTGTAAATCTGCACCCATAGTAATAAAGATTAAACTACAATGAGAAAAAAGAGAGTTTACATGAGGATGAACACGATAAATTCGGAGTATAAATATTTTCTCCGTTGAGTATTATTCCAGAGAAGAGCACTTCCAGCTCCTAAAGAAAGAACACAATGAACATGTGCTACAACGTAATGTGTATCATGAAACACTCATTTGGAGCAAAGGGTCAAGGGTCAAAGGCAGGGGTCGAGAGTGGAATTTACGCAGGCATCACCCATTAAGCTTTCAAATGAGGATGCTTCAAGTTTTTAAAGCCCACATTAAATAGGCTGGCAGCCAGGTTGCGCAGCTCAGTCTTTAATTACCTTCACCGCAGGCACCTGAAGACTGGCGCCATACCGAAACCAGTTTGACCGGTGCTGGAATCCCGAAGCCTTGGTGAAGAAACAAGACCAGGTGACACTTTTCGAAAAAGATGGACACCAACGAAGTCGTGGGGTAGAAAGCGTTTTTGTTGCTTGAGCTGGCGCTGTTCAAAGCCAGCACGCCCTCATCATGGCATTGCTGTGTGACAAGTGTCATAAAACTGGCAGCCTTCTTTGAAGGATCAAGGTGTTACTTTTGACTATTTAGGTCCCCGGCCTCCTTCTTTGAGATTGGAGTTGCAAATGACGAGTGGTGAATGCGAAGCTGATTTCGTTATGAGCGCCAAAGGGGAGAGGGCAATGGGAGATTCTGAGTGCTTTATTCAAAGGATGATGAGTAATCTGTTGAAAGCGAAAACATCGTGTTTTTTTGCGAAAAAGCATCGTGTTTTTTGTAGGTATGATGTTTTCATCGGTTTTTGAGGCTCCTGGTGCAGTAGAATGATAAAATAGGAAGTCAAATAGTTTGAGCTTGAGACCTGAAGAAAGCTACTTTGCAGTTGTTGTTTTGCTAGTTCAGACACGCAGGAAAACCGAAAACAATTAACACAAACTAGAACCCCAAAACAAAAACAAAACCCAGACTCCTGTGGGAGAGTGTTTGCCAGCTGTTTTTCTCTCAGGGAGTCTTTCTTTTGTTGTTTTCGGTTTCCAGATACCTTTCCCTCACTGAGTCTGGTTTTTTGTTTGGCGTTTTTGGGGTTTTGGAGGGGTTGTCTAGAGCATGAAACGTCCAGAGTAGTTGCCCTTGGAATTTTGTTTTTTGGTCGTCCCTTTGAGACACCAGAACAGGCTAAAACCGCTGGACATGCCACCTTAGTTGTGTGAAGAGTACCCCCCTACCCATTCTAATTATTGTTTGGGGGAAGCCTTGTTCATCGTCATCGTCGTGCGCCCAATGGAAGACTCTTTTGCAACCCCTAGCCATCAATCGACCTGCATGGGCGGCCTGGTTTATCACTTGCACTGTTGAGGAAAACAGCATCAGCGAAACTTAACTTAATTTTTGTTGGTAGGGAGGACGGTTTTGAACAAGTAGACGCTGGTCCTACCTATATAAACGGACGACACTGTTGTTATTAAACAATAACGGTTCAAACGTGATTACTGTAAACTCATTGGTCCCATGCGAACCCAGGTTAACATGCATCCCTGTTAATTTAGGAGGGTGCCTGTTTGGTGCCCATTTTCTGAGCGAATCCCTCACTCTTTGGGGAGACACGGCTAATCCGGGGTTGGCTCTGTTCTCGCACCCTTTGCCGTTTTTTGCGGCTCGAGGCAAGGTGACGGTGGCCCGACGAGCGCCCTGTAGAGTTGCCCCATTTGACACGTGATCTTTGGTTTTTTTGACCCAACAAAAATCAGACGCGCTTCAGGGCATGGGCAACTCCACCGGTTGGCAGTTTCCTTCCAGAATCCAGTCAGCTTGCGAAACCATGGGCGCAGCTTGCAGCTGTTCCGCGGCCATCTTGCCGCGCCGCTCGGTCAGCGGCGTGGACTTGGGCACATGGGTATGCGTTTGAGGTGAGCAGCCATTTTTTGGGGGGTCTGGAAAGGGACAATCCGCTGCGCCCATGAAGATGTCATTGCTCCATTTTTGGACTGGAGAAAAGCAAAGCTGTCAGGTGTAGCGGGGCGTTCCTATAGCGCGGAATTTGAAGAGCCCTTTCGGGGTTAACGGGAGGCTGAGATGGGAATCTGAGATCATCCATTCTCAACGATT